GCTTATTTCTTAAATCAGCCATCACAAAAAACAAGGTTCAAGCAAAACTGCTTTTAGGAAAAAAATCACTGTGACCAGAGAGAACCTTCCCAGGTGACACCACTGGGTGCACTAACTCAGAGTGAGTTGCTGGATGTTTGCCTAGCTATAAAAATGCGTTCTACTACAAAAGCTCCACTAAGCCCAGCACAATTCCTGTTTCGGGGGGTATCCCCTTGTATTTATTCTTCATAGTCCATTCTAGGGTGTTAAAAGTCCAAGACAGCGACTACATCTTAAGCACAGTCAGGAAAAACAACACAAAACCTTTAAATGAGCAACAATAAGACTCAGTGGAAGCAATGGCGGCTGAGAACAATGAGGGATCATCTTCAAAATGCTGGAGGAAAATTCCTACCTACTGGTAACCCTATCCCCCACCTACTAAAGACTTTCCCCTCCCTGGTCTGGGAAGAAGGGGGGGCAAGATACTTACAGGACTCACCTGTGAGTAATTGGGAACAGGATTTCCTGGAGTGCCACCCTGCTGTGTATAAACTTAACCCTCTGCAGGAGGAGGAAGAATCTTATTACTAGCAAGGGCCAGGAATTGTTTGTCCTCTGACCCTAAGATCGCTGCACAGCGAGCCTCCTGGATCCAGATGGCTGCTATACCATTAGAGCAGCAGCAGACGACCCAGGAGGCAGAGCCTGGAAAAGCTCCCTTATCTTTTCATTTCATTGTTCTATGAACTTCTTCCTCAAAGACAGACTAACCTTCCTGAACCACCACAGCATCAGGCCTAAAAGCGAGTGTCTCCAAACAGAGTCAATGGGCAGAGGTCATGGATGGAGGAGAAACCCTGTGACGTCAAACGTATTTCTACTTGTTGTAGGAAATACCATGTACGTGAATTTCTAGTTGACTATCTTTCTCCAGGGTGGGACACGAGGTGGGATCAAAAGAGAAGCAGGTGAAAGCTAGAAGCAGCATGAGCTGAAACACGGGTACCTTGTGAGCCAGGTGGAAGAGCAGACGGTTCTGGAGGCAGCTTTTGGGAGCTGAAAATCAAACAAACAAACTGCTCACCCAACTGCTTGTTAAGAACGGAACCTTCTGTGGACAGTGTTGTGGGGCTCTGCTCTTTGCCAGCCCTGGTAGACCCGTGACCCACCGTACAGGCTCCACACTCGGTGAGGGAGCAGGCCCCACTGGTGCCGCTCATCTGCTGAACTGAGCACGGGGATGGACACTGGCCTACAGTCATCACAGCGTGTGGTGCGAATGCCCTCTCTTTCAGCAGTTCTTCCTGGCCAAACCTTTCTGGAACCTCCTGCTTCACAATCCACGGCTGGCTCTGCCTAAAGACTTGTCCGACCTCAACCCCACAGTTCTTCTAAGGTGATGACCACCTGCTGCACTGACGCGGGCAACCCAGGCAAGAGGTTACCACTGTTCAACTTCCAAGTTTCCTTCACGACCTTAGCAGACTGTCCTCCTTCTGGATGTCCAAGCCTGTAGCTCTTTACAACACAAGTCACGCCGCTCAAAAAAGGGGTGGGGAGGGGGAGGGGGGTGAAAGGTTTCAAGTTCCACATTCTCCATCAATCTGAGCTGGGGTATTTCCCATACACATCAGTTAAGTCTCTTAGGACTTCTCGGGAATATTCTTCTCTCACCCTTGTCCACACTGCCTACATTTTCTTTCATTTGGTCCACACTCTCATTATTGCACGGCTACCCTCTGGCCCTGCATGCAACTGTAATCTTAGGGACAGTTCTCCCGAGATGACGGTAAGAACAGGAGAGAGAAGTCTGGCTTCTTCAAGAGGAAATTACTGGGCTCCTCACTCAGCAGTGGGGGAGGCTGCTGTCAGATCCAGCCTGGACAA